TGTCAAAGCTTAATTTTCATTTCTTATTATTATCAATGTTGAAAATAGTTGTGCTGCTTAATATTTTTGGGGAAACCATGATACATTTTTCTTTTCAGGTTTCAAAAAGTTCAAGTTAAAAAAAGCGTTTACTTTAAATATTTTGTAATATTATAAATGTATTTTATGTCATGTCACGTTTTAACATGTTTTAACACATCGATTTAATGTATTCTTGTTGAATAAAAGTATTCATTTACTTAAAAAATATAATAATAATAATCTTACGGACCCCAAACTTTTGAACGGTACTATATGAAATAAAAATATATAGCAGCATTTCAACATTCCCATTTCCCACAAATGAAAATGTCCTAAGAGAATGATTAGAGGAATATTTTAGGATTTGAACATCCAGGCTAGGTTTAATAGACTTTGAAGGATACGGGACAACATTGCAGCCTAGGACCCTGTCATTTACAAAGTCTGCTGCAACCTCTGCCTTTGGTCGACCCACATCTTTTGGTCTGTAGATACAACATCGATCAGTTTGCATTAATAAAAAAGAACAAGAACTAGCTCAAAAAGACAGCTATCAGCTGACTAAGACTAACCTGAAGAGGAACTGTCTGTTGAGGTTAGAAATATCAATGGTGTCCATGTCCACCACATGAATATGCCGAAAACCTGACAAGGCCTGGGTGATAAAATTGCACCATATATGTGCATGACAGGACCGAACACATTAGCAATTAATGTCTTTGCAATTACAAGGTATAGAGTATTGCAGCTGTCATTCAAGCATAGAACAACCAAAAGGAACAAACAAGAGTCTGTCTAAAAAAATACAGCACAACAAGGACTGTACCAGATCTTTGAGCAGCTCACAACCAAGTCCACCAGCTCCAATAACCAGAATTTTGCATGTGTCCAGTAAAAACTGGAGAGACTGGAAGAAGATGTGCACAGTTTATAAAGAGAGAAGAGAGTAAAGTAATATTCAGGTTTTACAACAAACCCTCTGATCTTGGATCAATTGCTCAAGAAGCTAAAATAGCTCAGATACTATCGTTTTTGACTCCGCTGGATGGATTTGTTTCTTACAAACACAGCTTTTTGCAAGACTTTAAATGATGGACTGGAGTCGTGTGGATTATTGTGATGTTTTAATCAGCTGTTTGAACTCTCGTTTTGACAACACCCATTCACTGCAGAGGATCCACTGGTGAGCCAGTGACGTGAAGCTAAATTTCTCCAAATCTTGGCCAATGAAGAAACAAACTACATCTTATATGGCCTGAGTGTGAGTAAATTGTTAGCAAATCTTAATTTTTGGTTGATCTATTCCTTTAAGGATAAGGTTTCTTTTGTTGTTGTTGTTTTAAAAATTTGTACTCAAAAGGTCTACCTCTTAAAATATTTTAGACCTTACATAACTAGAATTTTTATATATATATATATATATATTCATTATAAATATTCTCTCTCTCTCTCTCTCTATATATATATATATATATATATATATATATATATATATTATCCTTTAAGGATAAGGTTTCTTTTGTTGTTGTTGTTTTAAAAAATTGTACTCAAAAGGTCTACCTCTTAAAATATTTTAGACCTTACATAACTAGAATTTTTTTATATATATATATTCATTATAAATATTCTCTCTCTCTCTCTCTCTCTATATATACTCTATATATATATATATATTTTTTTTTTTATTTTTTTTTTTTATTCACATGATTTTTCCAGGTCTGGAAATCATCATTTTAAAATTAGGTTTCTTCATGCATGCTGATTTTTTTAAGAAATATCTTGCTTTGTAGATGTTTTGTCTTATTTTAATGCTTGATTTGTCATTCATCTTGCCATCTTAACGCCCCTTGTTGAGAAACTGCTTTAAGGCAGTGACAAAGAATTTCAGCGTTGCAGAACGGACCCTGAATCAATAATTCTGCATATAGCTAAACAAAAAAAGAGGCAAACAAAAAAAAATGATTCTTGATCCATTACAATAATGTAAGAACTCCATTATAACCTCAATTAAGAATATTTATAGGAAAAATTTTCTTGCTGCAAAAATGTTTTTTTTTGTTTGTTTTTTTGAAGTAGAGCACAATCTGTGTCGTATTTATGCACCATAAAATTAGCAGCCTGTCTTGTTATTTTTAAGCAGCCATTATGAAATCTAGGCAAATTTAAAGATTTTAATAAATTGTTCTAATAAAATGCCTCCACAGCTGAAGTTTGTGATTGACTGATTATCTCCCTAAAAGTAGGTAGATTAACATAAACATTTTTAAATGGGTATGTGGAATGTATATTACATTAAATTATATTATATATTACATTTTGGTATAACAGAGTGCATTGAGATTTATGTCATACCTCAGTGCTGGGTTCAAAATCCGGATGAGTGAAGGGTCCAGCTCTCTCCAAGAACTTGTTGACATGGTCCCATCGTCCCTGCCAGTCACTGCGATCCCCATTCCCTCCATCCACAACCATACTGTGGAGAAATATAAATATTGAAATATACAGCACACACACTACTCAGTTTATTTAGTTATTACAAAATTCATTCACATATAACACAATAGACAATATATTTTACGTGCAATAACAATTAAGCTATGACTTGAATGGCACTGAATTTTACGTAAATTTCATAATTAATACTATGAAAGTGTTTTATATTAAATTTAAATGTTATGAAAGAGCATTATGGCATGTGTGCAAACAGCAGTGTTTGGAGGTTTCGCGAGATTATATCGTTTTGTATGTACAGTACATGCGGAGAGCTGTTCACAATAATATCTGAACAATATGTGCAGTACAGATGAAGCTAATTACAAGAATCAGCACCTCCCAAAGCAAACCTGCTGGCTGCCACATCTAAATGATTATCTTTCATTTCACTAACTTCTCATTCAGCTCCTCTATTCTCCTTCTTTTCTTCTCCCTAAAAAGAGAGAATAAAAGAAGGTTCATTCATGCTCTGCTACCCGCAAGTTAACGTTCTTGCGTCCTGTTGATTGAACTACAAGCACTGTTACGAGGGATTTATGTGCAGTTTTGTATCAAATTCACTTACGGCTCCTCTCCTTCCGCCATACTGTCATAAACATTCAAAGTGAAATGCGCAACCTTATGACAAGGCAAAAGTGCTAACCACCTGACCCACAACGATATTTTCAGAATAAAAGTCCTAAAATAGACTGGAATTCTTCATATTCCAATAAAAACATATTTTAATGAACAAAATTACAGCACAAACGAACCAGTTCATTTAATTAAAAGTTTAAAAGGGTGACTTACTGGTTTGAAACAGACTGACGAATCATTCACTGAAGTGAATCCACCAGGGCGCAGAAATAACTGAATCAACATCTGCCAGACTGCCACACTCACTGCACTCGGAGTCGGAACTACATGGTTTCATTATGTTTAGTGATGTCCGTATAAGGATTACCAACTGTCAGTGTAATAACGGATCAGAGTTTCGTTCCGTATTAAATCATATCCTTTCATCCCCAGAGAACTTTAAAATTATATATATATATATACAGGGCCGTCCGGGTTGTTGAGGGCGTTGAGGGGACCCCGCGGCGAACGGACCATAAATAAAAACATAACTGCAGACAAGCACACGACAATGTGGTGAAAAGAAATTCTGCGTGTTTTCCTATAAAGAACGCAAGATGTTCCTCTGCTTAATTTGGTTATGAGAAAGTTAGGTTACGATATAAGATGCTTAGCGAATATCATCATATAGGCCTATGAAGCCTATTGACCTAATTATTTGTACTATTATTGCTAGTTTAAAAAAAAAATTACTTCAAATGTAAAATTAAAGTTCATTGCCCTACACTTCCAAAGACAAACTCTTTTGTTTATGTTTTACTTTGCTGTTATGTTACATCGCAAATTTTATTTGTGTTCGTGGTGTGTGGGGGAAAAAAGCCCTTAAAGGGGTCATATGATGCTTTTTTTAAAGATCATTATTTTGTGTATTTGGTGTAACAGAATATGTTGACATGCTTTAATGTTCAAAAAACACATTATTTTTCAAATACTGTACATTATTGTTGGTCCTCTATGCCCCGCCTCTCTCAAACGCTTCGTTTTCTACAAAGTCCCTCCTTCTGACAAGCGCAGTCTGCTCTGATTGGCCAGCTGACCCAGTGCATTGTGATTGGCTTTTAAAGTCTTAACTTTGATAAAGAATATCAAATATATTGGTTTTGAGACTTTAGTCTTTGTAACTTCAGGGATCTTATCTATTCACAATCAGCTTGTAACAATCCAAAGAGAAAGGAAAACTTGAAATTGCATCATATGACCCCTTAAGTTTTACTGGAACGATGATGTCCGTTAAAATGTATTTTGTGTTACTTAAAGTCAAACTGATTACATGCTCATGGACTGACAGACACAACATCTATGACAGTTTCTGACAGATTTGTAACTGAAATCTAGTTCCTTTATTAATAAAATTGTCGTTGTCAACTATTTTCTAAACTAATCTGTGTACAGATTGTAATAATAATCTTGTAATAAAGATTGTAAGGATTGTAATAATCTGTGTAAAGATTGTAATAATGTTGTAATAAAGATTGTAAATGTTGTAATAAATATAGGCCTATACTGAATTGCTTTAGGGTACAGTATTATTTATGTGTACTGGTTTTGATATTTTATTTTTTTCAGTGTTTTCAGTATTGATATTATGTATGCAGAGTTGAATATTTGGAATCACAGAAAGATATAGAAACATTTAATCTACTAAAATGAGAAATATTTACAAATATTTAAAAACAAAAAAATGTACACAAAATAGTCCTTGTTTATTTACACAACTCCCATACGCAATCTGGAGTAAATCTCTTTATATGACCACAATAAAAGGACCCATGATTCTGCCAGGGAGCAACATTTGCCAATTTTGGCTAAGTCACTAAATCACTTTGCAAAAACGAACCCCCTGAAATGCACCAACATCTCCCCAAATGTCCTCACACCTGAAAGGGGTATTCTTGCAAGTAAAGCAGCAGCGGCCGTGGCAGCGGCCGTGGCAGCGGCAACTGTGTATGGCAACCAGCATGTCTGTTTATAGTGAGGCGTGTAAGGTGCTGTAATGCTGAAAAGGCCTTAGGCCTGTGCAGAGGCTTCCTGAGCTTCAACAGGATGCCATTGTCCTTTGACACCACGTGATGTTCTTCTGCTATCCTCTCCTCCCCTAGACTCGTGGATGTATAGTGCTGCACGAGACTAGGAAGAGCAGAAATGGACAACAGGCAAGCTCGGGCTGGAAAACTGGAATCGAGACGGAATCGGCCGCTGTCGTATTGGATGCGGACGTTAGTGGGGCCTCTCCAGGTCTGTATGGAGAGGGTAAAGAGGTAGAGTGGATGGCTGCTGTCACGCACAAGGAAAGTCCCTTCAGACACTCCAATGAGGGCATCCCTTGCCTCACTGGCTGTCACACCACCCCAGTACCATCCTAAAAGATAAAGAAACGATTTATTAATATGACATACACTACCATCTGGGATCAGTAAGATTTTTCTTTCTTTTAAAAGAATATTTTATTCAACAAGGACACATTAAATTAATCAAAAGAACATAATGTGTAACAAAAATATTAAGCAGCACAACCGTTTTCAACATTGATAATATAAGAAATGATTCTTGAGCAGCAAATAAACATATAAGAATGATTTCTGAAGGAACATGTGACACTGAAGACTGGAGTAACAGCTCCTCAAAATTCAGCTTTGCCATCACAGAAATAAATCATATTTTAAAATATATTTAAATAGAAAACAGTTATATTAAATTGTAAAAAATATTTCCCAATTTAACAGTTTTACTATATTTTTGACCAAATAACTGCAGTATTGGTGAGCATAAGAGACTTCTTTCCAAAACAAAAACAACTTACATATAACTTATATATATATACCTGAGGTGTGTAGGTGCTGAAAGGTGGTGGTGATGAAACGCAAGTCCTCAGATGGGGCCCATGAGTAGGGAGCTGCTTGGGACTGCTGAATTTGTTGAACCTGTGATTCGTCCCTCTCATTTTGTGCACTTGTACGGTTAGCAACCATTACTGAACGTGGCCCTGGCATAAGAGCCTTCTTATAGAAGAAAAACACGTTTCTGTATTATATTATTTAATCAACAAATATTTTTTTCTAAATCTACAAAATGGCGTGAGGTGAGACAGCAGAGATAACAGTCCAATCGTTAAAAATGGCTGTGCTTTCTTTGTTTTGTCATTTATAATTTCAATGAACTCAAAGAAAAAACAAACAAAGGAAGTGCAGTGCACCAAGAACAAGAGAATGCACTCACATGCTTTTTACGCAATGTGGCAAGAATTTCAACTGGAAAGCATGGTAAACAGCAGATTTGACAAGACAAGAAGTCACAAATATTTCATATATAAAATAGTATAAATCAGATCGATGTGTTATTGGAATGCTGGTGTTTTTATTTCTGTCTCAACATCTGCCTCAATTAGTCAGAATCTGTATGTTCTTTCTTCTTACATTATGAAACATAAATATCATGACACAATGGTTAAGTCGGCATACTTAAACACTCATTTCTGAAATGCCCTGGAAAGGTGAAATTTTGAAAGCGAGGTAAATGTGGATTTTACTCTAAATGAGAACAAAAGACTTTACAAACAGAGCTTTTGGGAATTGGGATTAGGATAACTGCAGCTTTTGACGACTGATATTGTACAAAATATTGAATTCCTTTCTTTTATAGACACTACATACTTGGTTTTATGTTTCATTTTTAAACATTTTATTCAAATTATATTTACACAAATTGTAAAGTATATACTCACAGGCATGTTAGTAAGTCTATAAAATAAAAAAAGAGAATTAAAAATGAAAAATAGCTGAACCACAATTGCCGGTATTTAAACTGAAATAAAATAAAATAATAAAATAAAATAAAATGACACCTAAATTCAGGGAAATACGCATGTTTTTGATTTTAAACCTACACTCTTAAAAATAAAGGTGCTTCAAAAGGTTCTTCAAGCGATGCCATAGAAGAACCATTTTTGGTTCCACAAAGAACCATTCAGTCAAAGGTTCTTTAAAGAACCATCTCTTTCTTACCTTTTTATAATCTGAAGAACCTTCTTTCGCCACAAAGAACCTTTAGTGAAACAGAAAGGTTCTTCAGATGTTAAAGGTTCTTTATGGAACCATTTAGACAAAAAGGTTATTCTATGGCATCGTGAAGCACCTTTATTTTTAAGAGTGTATAATAAGTTTTCATATTTGCTTAGACAGTATATAACGTGGTCAGAAAATGTTCAGTGCATGTTTCGCTCCTTATATTGCACGATCCAATATTAAAAAGCACATAGATGATAGCAAAATGTTCCATTTCGAAATATCTGTAATGGGAGGTGACTGCAAGGTAAGCGTATGATTAAGTCTAATTCCAGAAAATGTTTATTGCCAGAATGTGATAGTCTTATAGTTCCTAACATCGTAACATCCTGGTTACTAATAGAGCTGGCCCTGGATCAGCGCATGCATTAACCCTTTAATAGACACACCCAGAAAAAAACAATGGAATTACTGTTTGTAATAAATAATACAAATGATATAAAAATGCAGTAATTTTTTCACATGTATGTTTTTAAGGACCCATCGTTTTTATGTGCTTCTACTAAACATTTAACGAGTATCCATTTTATTAGCATTTACTTCTTTACCAAGAAATCCAGTATAGTGACCTGTATATTTTTCCGTTTTAGTAGGCTATCTAATATTATACTAATCTATTTATTAGATACTTGAATTGATTTCAACTCGTATCTGTTCAGTTAGTCACTAATTCACCAATACGTTTTTTGCTTAATATAACACCTGACTTCTAGAGATATCTCAGTAAACCATCAATATGCACTCTACCAAAAGGCAGAGAGTTGTTAAAGTGTCAACTAAACGTAATGCTACTCCACAGACAAAAAGGAGATTTAACAAGACAGATTAATTGATTTTATTTTAACTATAACATAAAAATCATCACCTAAACAACATATTTATGTGGCCTCGAAAACCTTGTGAGAATGTGTTTCAGAGTGAAAGAAGACTATAGTTAAAATCTAACATAAAAAATAATAACTATGAAAAGGATTGCTCAGGCAAGAAATAGGCTACAGGCCATTGAGGGGAGAAATTAAACAAGTGTATCAGATGTCATTTGACATGTTTTGACTGTATGATTCTAGCTCTCATCTCCAGCTCCTCTGATTAGACGCTTGTTCCCTCGTTTCCCTGTAGGGCCCTTTGGCTTGGTGAAGGCTTGTTTCAGAGCTTGCTGCTTCGGGTAAACTTCTTCATACAGGAAATCCTCTGTCAGGCACTCTCCACTATCAATCTCCATCTACACACATGACACATAAATAGATGAACTCAAATGTTGGGTAAATATGAGTATTTGATTAGAAGCAAATGTCAAAAAGTTATGCTCTAAAAAGTTATACTAAAAACTTTGGGATCAGTAAGATTTTTTAAAAATAAATATATATTTTTTTCCAGCAAGGATGCATTAAATTGATCGAAAGTGACAGTAAAGACAATTGTAATGTTACAAAAGATTTATATTTTAAATAAATGTGAAATCTCATATTTCTCATATATAAACGTATCTCAGTTTCCACAAAAAGATTAAGCGGCACAACTGTTGTGAAGTCATTGAAAATAAGAAAAAATGTTTCTTGAGCACCAGATCATTTCTGAAGGATCATGTGGCATGTGACATCAATTCAGCTTTGCCATCACAGAAATAAATTACATTTTAAAATATATTCAAGTAGCCACAGCTCATTATATTGTTTTTTGATGTCGACCTAATATAGGTGTTTAAAGATAGATTATCCATGTTCACACCTGAGTCAAGAATGAATAACCACAGTTTTGTGGTCAATTACAATTTCTTTATAAAAGTTAAGTTCAAGGAACTTTGGAGGTCTAAATGAATTTGTAAGGTGTAAAATATGATTTTTCCACAGAAATGTATTTAAAATAAAATAATCTATTTTAATGTACTCAAGTACTTGACATCCTTGTACTCTTCTACTCAGGTCAAAGCTTAGATGTTCAACAGCTATCTTGAAAAACATACTGTACTAGGACCAACTGTTGCTGTTAGTGTACCTTTTTGGCGATCTCTATGTGATAGTCTCTCTCTACCTCATCCAGCAGTCGATTCTTACAGCTGGAGTACAGCATCCTTTCTTTGATGCTACAACTATACCCAGGCATGGAGTAGATGAAAACTGGTCCACATATTCAAACGCAAACATGAAAAACATTAGATCTGAAGAAAAAACACCATTACCAATCTTAAGAGGACAAGTTGGCATATTGTGATACCGGCAGAAAATCTTGACACTAACCTACAGCTTCCAGTGCCTGTCCTTGATGGGCGTGTTTGTACAGGAAAAAGTGGTATCGTGGGGCATCAGTTGGGATTCTACTTGGCAGCTCTTTGGTCTCTGTAGGACTAGTGTGGACCAGCTCAATTGTCTCTCGCTCGGTGTCCAGCCTCTTAAAGATGATAAAGTAAAAAGTGCTTTGTTATTGGGCTAATGGAGATAATATGGAGTGCAGCAGGGCAGGCGTAATATTCTATGTGATAATGTAAAAATTGACACTTTTATTCAAAGGGTTGGGGTCAGTTACATTTTTAAAAATAAATTAATACTTTTATTCAGCAATTACGCATTACCGTGATCAAAAGGGACAGTAAAGACATTTATAATGTTGCAGAACATTTATGCTTCACATAAATGCTGTTCTCGTGAACTTTATATTTATCAAAGAATCCTGAAAACAATATATTACGGTTTCAAAAAATATTAAGCAGCACAACTGTTTTCAAAATGTGTAATAAGAAGAAATATTTGAGCTGCAAATCAGCATATTAGAATGATTTCTGAAGAATCATGTGACACTGAAGACTGGAGTAATGATTGCTGAAAATTCAGCTTTGCATCACAGGAATAAATTACAATTTACAATATATTGAATAGAAAAGTTATTTTAAATTGTAATAATATTTCACAAGATTACGGTTTTACTGTAACTTCTTAGTGAGCATAAAAGACCTCTATTTACCCCCAAACACTAATGCACATTTATTTTGAATTTATGTGTGTGTTGTAGCTTAATTTATTTTGATATGTAATATTATGCAGAGAATCCGGTTTTAAACATCATGCAAAAAAAAAAAAAAACAGGATATTTAGCAACAGCATTACCAAAAGCATTTTTGCATGTATATAATGAAGCAAATTGATACTAAATGTGCTTATTGAGTGTAACCTGTACAGTTAAAAATATAAAAGTCTGTTTTTTGTGTGTGTGTGTGTGTATGCATATGTATGTGGAACTTACTAGTTGAATGTAGTCGATGCGTTTGTGTTTAAGTTGCTGTAAAGCATGTTTAGCCTCTTCTTGCAATGGGAACGCCAAACCCTGCAAAGTTGGATTTTTACTCTCCACGCTGATCTCTGTCTATATCAGAAACACATATAACATACACACAAAGATGATATGTTCATTTAACATTAACACTTCTAATAATTTAGCGAATAGAGAACAGAAGCTACCTTTGCTTGTCCACTTACAGTGGCAATCCGTCTTCGCTCATCCTGAATAGAAAAGTACAAAAGTTTTGTGAAAATCCCTTTAATATTTATGTACTTGAAAACAAAATCAATAACAGGACACTCACCCGTGCCACTTTGTCCTGTCAGGTGCATTATTAAGAAATGCATTTGTTTATTAGATATTAATATGCAGGCAGACAAGCTGTCAGATACTCGATTTTGATATGAAGGTATTTAGACATTTTTGACCTTCCTCACCTCTGTTATTTTAATCTGATGGAGCTGTTGCTCAGCAGTAGTGAGAGGGGCCGGGGTGGAAGAGGAAGACAGGTGTCGTAGATAACCTTGGAAACAGACGTCTTCCTGCAGGTCATAATAGTAAATAGTGCTTAGATGACACATCATCACACCTCTAAACATGTGACCTGAAGAAACCTGAGTAAAGGTGAGTGCAAGGAACAAAAGAACAGGAAACAGTAGGTTTACTGTTGTAAACCCAGTAATAAAAATAAAATAAAAAAAAAATTTTCATCTAAAAATTAGCATTTTTATCAGACTCCTGTTTAGGCTCAGTAATTTTACTCTAATGGAAATGAATAGGTCCTTTTCTATGCAATTAAAGTGAAATAACTTAATATAAATATAGGAGCCTGACAAAAATGCTCATTTTAAAAGAAAATGTTAGATGGCACTTACAGGCTTTTGCATCTGAACTATATATATATACAAGTGCAATTTATTTGACCTGAAAGATAACAAAAGCACACTTTTGAAGCAAAACATCTACCAAAAATAAACGTTTGTAAGGCTTTAATGACACATCTATGAACACAAGTGTAAACTCAAGTGGTACCCCTGTGAAAAAGAAGTAGGCTACACTAAAATACAGTATACTTAAAAAACAATTACTTATTACAAAAATAATACTCTTCAGTGAGATCTGAATGTATTGTTTCTGGACACTTAATTGCTTGTTAATTGTGATTATGAAAACATATTATAATTTACATTTATATTAAATGAAATTAGCTGAACTTTAAAGTTTTTTTTTTTAGTAGGACTAAATACATTTTTATATGTAATTTCATAATTACTTTTATGTCTGATGAAGGTGCAATTTAGTTCATTTAAAATAACACACTATAGTTACAATTTTAATCAACTGGCTTATTTTACATGTGCTTTAGTATATTAGCCAACACATCAAAATAAGGGTACTTATTTAAAGCACAACAAATGATTATTAAAGCATGATTTAAAATGTACTTTCAATTTGACATTATTGTAAGTGCACATTTTTAAGGTGTACTTAAGAGTGTCAAGAAACAATCATGAAAGTGTACTCTTTTTAAGTACACTTAAGTAGCCTTTTATTTCATTAATATTATATTATCTACAAGTACATTTTTAAAAAACATACTTTTAAGATTTGAAATACACTACAAGTTTACATTCAATATAATCAGTCGCACTTTTTAAAAAAAGGGTGCAAACTTCATAAATCTACTAAAATTACCTTAAAATAAATAACAAAAATGACTCAGAAATGTAAATCAAATGTCTAGCATATATATTTAAGTATGGCTTAAGTGCCCACATACTTTTCTAAATAATATGGCCACTTGTGATCTTCTAAGTAATATTTTAGAAGTTGCATTACTCTTTGATTTATTATTTTTTTTGTTATTACACATTAATGTGAGGCCTGATTCATGAAACAAAAAGTGTAAATAGCAGTAAACTAATCGAAAGCACCATCAATCTTTTTGCTCAAACAAAACCGTCCTGTGGGTATTGAAATACTAATATTAAACTACATACACAGACGGCCTCACAAACAAATGCTCCTACTCACCGCTCCTTATAACAACCTTCACCACTCTGACAGCTCCCCTTCTCGCCTTCACGAGGAACTCTCTTAAGTCTGGAGTTGCTGGTTTCAGCAGTGAAGTATACAACATATGATGATACAACAGAAACAGGATACAGTGAGTAAACCCAAAAATTATTTTATGCCACAAACCTTTAATCATCATAAGAATGGAGAGATCACCCCATTGCATAGTATTTCATAATATAAATTTTTACATTAGATCACTTATTTTTTAAGACCAAGAAAATTGACTGAAACAAAGGAAATGTTACACTGCTTGCACACTGTGCGGCCTGTGCCTCATTCTTGGCCTCACCATGGTAACGGGGCACCAGGACTCATAAATGATGTAGGTGCAGGTGAGAAGGATGAGGAGCGGCGCTTCCGCCCGTAAGCTTAAATTACCTCCCATCATCATTCACATAAAACACAGCCTAATATTATCTCTCTATTTTAAACCTATCTAATTATATATGTCATTATATATACTGTAGAACTGTAGAATTTAGTTTGCTAAAACCCAGAATTAAGCAGAACTATCAATATTCCTACTCAAAACATTTTAATAGTGAAGTTTTCTTTTTTTAACTGATAATTTCCTTTGCCTTTAGATGTACACATTTGCACATAGACTCATACATCTGAAAAAGGTTAATGCAAGATTTTGGTACTTTTTTTTATTTCTTTTTTTTTTACATGTAGTATTCCAAATGTCCCTCATTTTAACTTTGTTGCATATCTTCATACTTTATATTACACTTCTAACTCAAAATGCATTTCACTAAAAGGAGAAGATAAAGATAAAAATGTAAAATGTTTTACTCTAAATTTTAAATCCATATGGGCTGCAGTGTACTGAAATAAATTTCTAATTTTCTTTTGCTTACCATGGATACCAGTCTGGTGCGACATCCCAAGTCCCGTTGATGCTCCAGCTCAGTCCGAATTCCTGTCGAAACTCCCAGGTTGTCCTCCTATTGTCTTCAGTGGCACTGCTATCTATGCCCAGCAGTGTGGTCCAACTCACTTCCGTACAATGACATCAACGCCCCTTAAGCATCTTACCTGGGGAATCCTGTTTGAAACTCGATCTGCGGAACCGAGGAAGATGTGTAGCCTAATATTACACCTGTCAAGGGATGAGTTCCAGCACACCACCTATCTAGTATTATTCACCCATCACTGGTGGCCCTTATGTGGTATAAAGTGGATGACAACATCTGATCACTGTGATGAGCTTCATAATGATGCTCTGGTGTAAAATAAAAGGAAGTGCCCTACTGAAACTGAGAGTCTGGACTCTGGACTCTGGACATTATCTGTCTGTCTCCGCTCTTCTACAAGCAGTTATGCCACGGTCCATTTGTGAAAAGAAATGGCACATTATCACTCACAAACATCGAGGACCTGATAGCATATAAACCGGAGGCCTGTGGGAGCTCAAATTCCACCAGGCTGTCATGAGATACCACGCAGGCAGCTGCTGACCCCCAACCAGCAAGACAGGCGGTTGGTTCATTTAGACAACCTAACCAGCTATCGAAAAGCCATTTCAGACTGTAAACTTTTCTCTTGACCACTCTTTGAGATTTTGCATGAGGTTTATGAGATTTGATTAAAGGAAAAGGGTTTTTATTGTGTTTCTAAAAAGTGTTTCAGGATTTTTTTATTTATTATTATTTCACCAGAGCATATAAAAGACAAAAAGTTTTAAATCTGATATTATGCATTTGTATAAAGACAGAAAGAGAGAGAACATACCTGTGAGTTTTCTAGTGCTGGCTTCATGTTTAATTCACTCAGCTGTGAGCACAAACCCAGCCATTATTCATTATTCACGCGCAGCCCTCCCTTCAATGATACACACATGCTCTGCACACAAAGATTCTCTTTCTTCTTGGCATGACAGTTTTAGCATATTTTAACATATAGTACTATAGACTTGTCCGTATGCATTGGTAGACAATATTTAGGAGAAATATGCCTTGTTTTTCACCTCAGACCCCTTTAAAAAGTATGAATAATAGGCTACACGCTGTACATAGCTGCAACCCTATTCATCAAACCATTAACTGACAGTAGTCAAATTCATAGTAGGCTATATCTAAAGTCTTGGCTAGAGATGAAAGCTTATTTAGAACCGGTTCCATATTTTTATGACTCTCATGAGATGGTTCTTTTTTGTGAATCAGAACACTGTGACCAGTAGCTAGTCCGATTTTCTAACAAATTACTCTTTTGAGTCGATTTTGGTGAGTCAAAACATTTTGTGAATAAAATATGTAACCATGTTTTTTTTGCTTTTATGTAATATATTTAATATCACTATGCCTTTTATTTTGAGTTGCACTAATGTCCGTCATACAGCCACTAAAATGACCTATTTTGGTGAAAAGAAATAGCTCAAATGGCGAAATTTGTTTGCAGATTGCATCTTATCTCAATGAAAGCCATACATTTTAAGTGTGACTTAAGCGTCCAAAATACTTTGAGGTATAGCTAATATATTTATGACCAAGCTGTCATATTCTAAATAACATTTTAGAACTTGGTTTACTCTACATTATTAGTATTATTACAAACTGATCTGAGGGATGATTCATGCATTGAAAACGAATCAATTAATGCATTAAAAACGTACAGCGTGCACAGTTATTAGATTCCAGAACGATTCTATTTAGCTGATTTGGCTGAATGCAATATACAGTTGATCAGGCTGACCAATTACTTTTATTTTGAGCTGTTGTTCATTCACGGTCATCTTTTTAGTGTCTCCTTGATTACTCAGCTTTAGCTGTGATTCTCGCATTTTAATCGGACATTACGCCAGTGAGTAATGTAAGATCTCGGGGCTCAGGTTTGGGAAAAGGGAGTTACTTTTGAACTATTCATCTGTGAAAATGCGCCATGCAGGTGAGGTGACATGATGCTCGTGAGAGCGTATGCCACAGCTTCAAAGACCGAGGCCGTCGCTTCTAACGGGAAAACAGGACTGAAAGCAGCAGATATCGCGAACAGACACCGGAGTGAAAAGGAAAAACGAGCAAATGACAAAAAAGGGGGATGGCTACGTTTGTTTATGCATGTATATAGTCTGTTTTGACTAAGTGTCTTTATGTGCAACCATTTAGGTTCCGTCTTTTTTCGATTCTCTCCAAAGGTTCCGGTGTCACCTCTACAAAACAGAGTAAATGAACTCAAACAGTTCACTCAGCAGCTACAGTCTGTTCACACCAGTGTGCTCGCAAAATCTCTTCTCAGGGGCATCCTTTATCAAGACAAAAACATAATCGCCATAAATAAACCATATGGTGTGCCTCTGCATAGTGAGTATATGACATATCATTTAACCTTCTCATTTTTTAGAAGTGATTATATGATTATATTTTATTAAAGTAATATTTATTCTTTAATATTTTGTATTTTGGGGGGATTTCATGGTAATAGACAATATTCACCTTCAAATTATGCACCATTTATTTCTGTATAAAATATTCAAAAAAATTTTTTTATTATTTTTTAGTTAATA